CTTCAAGGCCCTGGCTGGTGCCCTTCCTCCAAGAAGCCTGTCCTGACTGCTCAGCCTATGCTAAGGTCTCTTTTCTCATCTCCTCCTTCTCCCAATACAGTTCAGAGGTTGCTCCCCAGTGTACGGCAGGCTTGGGACACTTGAGGCTGTCCACAGGGTCAGGATAAAGCCTTACTATGGCAACAACGATGATAATCATGGTGACAGTCACCATAATTGAATGTTCACCACATGCCAGGTTTCACCTGCATGCTCTGCACCCATAATCTCCTTCAATCTTCCCTAGAACCCTAGGAACAAAAGGCCAAATGGTTTGGGTTGCATCCGGGCTCTGCACTCCTCACTGGCTGTGTGACATGGGGCAAGTTACTTGTCCTCTCTGTGCCTCAGTTTCCCCATCTATAAAATGGGGAGGCTGATCATGTCCGCCTCCTAGAATTGATAAGAGAATTAGTTAACATATGCAAAGCGCCAGGCAGTGACTGGGTGGAGCAGGCTCTAAGTGTCATTGCTGATATTATTATCATTATTATTATTATTATTATATCATCTCCATCCTACAGAGGAAGAAACAGAAGCGACTTTCCTAGGGTCAGACAGCTGCTAGCACACGGAGCCAGGGCTGAGTCACCATGCCCACTGCCCCTTCTCCCGTTGACCCACAGTCCGAGCGTCAGGGTTGCTCAGTCCTGGCCTCTCCAAGCGGAAGAGACCTCCGCGCTGACCCAGGACTGCTCTGTCTGCCAGGCAGGCGTCCCTTCCGCAGCCCCCGGGGAGGTGACCCAGCTTCTGCAGAACCGCAGGATGGGCCCCTCAGAGGGAAGGGACCACGCCTGCCTGTTCACCTCTGTGTCCCTGAGCCTGGCACACACTAGACCAGGGGTGGGCAAACTTTTTGACTCGAGGGCCACAATGGGTTCTTAAACTGGACCGGAGGGCCGGAACAAAAGCATGGATGGAGTGTTTGTGTGAACTAATATAAATTCAAAGTAAACATCATTACATAAAAGGGTTCAGTCTTTTTTTTTTTTAGTTTTATTCATTTCAAACGGGCCGGATCCGGCCCGCGGGCCGTAGTTTGCCCACAGCTGCACTAGACCCAAAAGAAATACCAGGGGGGCTGGTCATCAAGACCCAAGAATCCCTAGTTCGAAGGTGCGGGAGGCTCCACTTACCACCCTGTAGCTATCCCACCGCAGCCTCCTCTGCAAACCCCAACATGGCCTACCCACTCCATTGCCCCAGACACTGCTGCCTTGCCTCTCATGACCCCAATCTGTCCCCCATCCTCTCGGGAAGCTCTTCAGGAGAGGAGCTAGCCCCGTGCTTCCTGGGGCACATGTGCCCTACGGGCAGGAGGCAGACAGGTGGGGGGGGATGAGTCACCCCCATGGGCATGAAGTGCTGGAGAAGGCAGTGGTGCCCGGCCTCACAAGTACCCCTCCTCCCTCATCACTTCTGGAACAGTCTCTGTGGCTGCCCCCTCCTCAGAAGCCACCAAATCCCCTTCCCACTCCTTACTGCCCCCCCCCCAACCTCAACCCGGCTTTAGCTCCCAGTACCTCGCTGGGCCAGGCCTGCTCAGACTTGGTTCCCTCCCATGACCAGCTCCTCACCCCCTCTCACCTACTACCCCGGGACCAACCTATCTCTGCTTCTGACTAAGTTCACTCCAATTTTTAAGTTTTAATCTAGGACACTGGTTCTCAGCTGGGGCGAGCCCCTCCACCCCGGCACAGCTGGCAATGCCTGGAGACATTTTTGGTTGTCATCAGTGTAAGGTGCTCCTGGCACCCGGTGAGTAGAAGCCAGGGACACTGCTCAGCATCTCAGTGCGCAGATGGGCCCACCGGCTCTCCCCAGCCCCAGGGAACGACCACGTCCCTAGTGCTGAGGCTGAGAAACCTGGTCGGTAAGATGGGAGCAGCGACACGGCTCTGCCGTCTCCCCTCCCAGACCCTTGACTACCTGTGTCCCCGGTTCAGCCTCAGGAGCTGGGGCCCCTGAAGACTTCCCCAAACTCTCCCCAAAGGCTCCTTTTCCTCCTGGGAGAGGGAGAAGGTGGGGTCTCGTCTCCAGCCACGGGCTTTAAGGACATGGGCATACGGTGGAGGCAGAACGCATGGGCATCAAACAGCTGGAGGAGACCCCTCCACCTCCAGTGGCGGACAGCCAGGTTCATAAGACTCCTGACCACGAGGGGGTTTCAATCCTGACTTGGCCACTGAGTCACTGTGTGACCTGAGCAAATGGCTTGGCCTCTCTGTGTCTCAGTTTCCTCACCTGTCAAATAAGATGAAGAATAATGAACTTAGCTCATATGGTTGTTGTGAAAGTTACATCTAAGAGGCTTGTGAAGCTCTTAGAACAGTGCCTGGCACTGAGTGCTGTCTGCGTATAAGTAATTGGAAAAAAAAAAAGGTTGACGCTCTGTTTTCAGGCTCATCAGCAGGAACTGGGTCTGGGGAGGGGCAGTGTGTCTCTTCCTATTCCTGTGTGCTCAGCCAGACTCTCAGCCCAGCCTGCAGGGTCCTCCGGACAGAGAACATGCGCAAGCCCCGTGTCTCCAGCACCCCCTCCCCCTCCCTGGTTCCAAGGCCCTGGCCAGAGCTCAGCCGCTATAAGCCTCTCTACCCACCTGCGGTCTCCCACACTTCAAGTTTCCTGGCTAGAGTCTCTCCTCGCAAAAGGTGAGGACCCAAGCTCCTGAGATTGGCTGGTGTGCCAAGGCCAAGGCTCCAGGGAAGGCAGCCAAGCCAGGCCCGAGCCCTGAAGATGCCCTACACAGCTCACAGGGAGGACCCAGGGAGATAACACCGAGGGCCCGCAAAGCCCAGGCCTCGGGCTCTTACCCATAAATGTCCACCAGGGTCTCCACGCCAGCCACGCACACGGCACTGGTGGGATGCTCCAGGGACACACGCACGATCCTCTGCAGGGACATGCTGGCCTCCGACTGGGCTGGGGCCACAAAGCCCAACCAACACTGCCTACCTACAGGCCCCCTGGGCCAGTGGTTTAAAAGACCCTGGCCCTGCCCCTCCAGCCCAGGGTGCTAGCTCATTGGCTGCTGTGCAGGAAGCCCAGCCCCTTCCTAGAGCCAGGATCTCTGGATTGGCTGGAAGAAACCTGATTTGCATATGAACTTGTTGCTTCCACCCCAGCACTGAGGGAGTTAATTTCTGGCTTTAAAGGGGAGCAAGTCACCACAGATACCTGGCCAGGGCTCCAGGGCCTGGGGTGGCGGGGAGTGGGGGGGTACAGAGCTGTGCAGTATTGGTCTGTGTCCCTCACTTTCCATCCTCTTCATCCCCTTTTCCTGCATTTTCAGAGATGATTTGCTTTAGCGGGGAGCTTCTCTACCCTGCTGGGGAGGTGGCAAAATGCAGATTTCTGGGCCCGGCCTCCTGTCTGATGCATCTGGATTTTTTACAAGCGCCCCAAAGAATGTTGATGCACTTTGAGGAACACCATGCCTCTTCCTTTAAGAGTGTGGATTTGAGAAGCAGGATTGGATGTCAGCCCTGGCTCAGCCACAGCCTGGCGGGGTGACCCGGGGCAAGTCACTTAATTGTTCTGTACCTCACTTTTCACATCTGATAAGTGGTTGTTGTGCGGCTTAAATGAGACAACGTGGGTAGAGCTCTAGTACAGAGCTTGGCATTATTTCATGATGAGCGTTGTTGTTATTGTTATTATTATTATTAGATACCAAAGCCGCCGGGAGGGGGATGCGATGAGGGTGAAAGAGCTCTCTGACTAGGGGGAGCTTAGAAGGTCAGAGCAGGCTTGCTTTTCAGGTGGGGAAACGGAGGCCAGAGCGGACTTTTCGGCACCTGGAGGAGCAGCAGGAGCAAGGGCTCTGGCAGGAGGAGTCTTGGGTTCAGACTCCACCATGAACAGGGCTCTGGGGCCTTGGTTTCCTCGTCTGTAGAGAATGTGGCTAATTGCCAGCCCTGGCAGAGAGCGCGGCGGGGCACACCCTGCCCCCGAGGCTCAGGAGGTGCTGAACGGAGGTTTCCTCTCTTCTCCCTGGTGCTGCTGATGGTTGGGGCCGGGTGGAGACCAGGACCCGCCTCCCAGAGTCCCCACCTAAAGCACTGGCCGAAGTCGGCGACCTCAGCAGGACTCTAAGACTGGCGCTCCGGTCTCCCAGTTTCTGGGGGGAAGTTCTCAGAGAGAACTGCTGGGCTGCTGGGTCCGGTGACAGCTTCACGTTTTGGGCTGTAAAATGCTTGGTGGCTGACTCCGCTCTGGATAAGAGTTTGAGCTCAGGAGGAAGTCCTAGACAGCCTCCTCAGCCCACTGTGAGCACCGTTGGGAAATAGAAACAGGAAGTGAGGGGGTCCCCCCGCACCGGGCACTGGCCCACTGCACTGGGAACAGAGCCCCAACTCTCCCTTTGGCAGCTACCCAGGCCTTCACCTCTCCCCAGTTATGACCAGCTTTTAGGAACAGATCGGTGGCTCGTTCAGACTAAAGTGCCAATGGCGGATGGCAAAAAGTTTTTGCCTCTAAGTCCACAAGAAAAGTGAATATAAAGTGAATGAGTGGGTGAGTGAGTGAATGTCAAAGGGTGCGATCTGAGGCAGCAACCTGTGTGTGGGATGTGAGGGGAGATACTTTCAGCCCTGAAACCAGACCGCTGAGTAACGCAGTGGCTTAGAGGCAGAAATGAAAGGGAATCAGTGGCCTGTGGCCCCGGGCACCAGTCCCGCAGGGGACCCTCCGGCCTCAGTCAATAGCCCCAGTGGCCTTCCCTCTGAGAGACGCGGAGGCAGCCCAGGAAGGGAGATGAAATGAAGAGGCAGGGCCCACCTCCGCTGGCAGCCATCTCAGCAGGGCCTTGGCTCCAGGCAGCGGGCATGTGCCAGCCATCCTCCTGATGGAGCAGCCCGCCTGGCTGCCTGGTGGTGTGGTGGGTGAAACTTTCTTCCCTCCTCCTCACAGCCCAACAAACAAAAGCGAAGGAGGCGGCCCCTTGAAGAAATACATGTTGACATTTTTATTAATCAGAAAGGAGGTGACCAGTCACCCGGATCATTTTCAGAGGGGACATCAGTGTCCCCCAGCAGCCCCTGCGGCAATCCCAGCGCCTTGCACACCCAGCGCCGCTCTAGGGACTTGCTCCCCATCTCTCTGCAGTGCCCCCTCCCCTCTCCGCCCTTTACCCCTGGGGTCTCAGCCCCTGAACATCTCCCTTCTCCTCTTGGCTCAGTCTAGGTTTCCTCGTGATGACGATCAGAGAATGAGCAGGTAAGACCAGGGGCTTGCAGATGGGGTCCCGACAGAGCCTTCTGGAAGGGGAAGGTTCAGGTACGCCACCCTCGCCACCTTACACCAGAGCGGCTCCATTTTTATTCGTTTCCTATGTTGGGTTTCCATGTAAGTGTCTGATTCCTAATAGAGTTTAACAGCAGCTGGCTCAACCCAGGCCTCACCAGGGGCCGCTGAAAACCCCGAAGGTGAAGGCCCAGGGGCTGGGGGCCCCCGAGGTGGCCCCTCAAGCAGTGGGAGACAGAGCAGAGGTCTGCTCCCTGTTGCCCAGGCCTGTCTGGGGCAAGGGCCACCTCTCACCCTGCACTGGCCAAGCCTGCCTGCCTGTGCACGGCCTGGTGACCTCCCCCGGGGCCGGAGCATTAATCCCTGTGGCAACTGTATCTTCCCTTCTAGACGCGGGGACACAGGGCTGACACAGGGGTTTACCCACAGGTGAAACCCAAGCTCCGCTCCGGGTCTTGGGGTTGCTGAGAGAGCCTGGGCAAGCCTTTCCCTCCCACTGCCGGCAGAAGGAAGGGAATAATTAGAGACTATTAAAGGGAATTAAACCCCACCTTCAGAGATAGCCTAATGGCCCCCCACCCTCTTCTCACATCCGGGCCCCTCCCTGCTACATCTGGAACAGCCGGCTGCCCTCACATGCAGAGTCCAGAACCCAAGGCCCAGGAGCCCGGGACGCGGAAGCCCGGCCCCCGCTTCTGTCCGGTGCCTCAGCCCTCTCTGCCAGCCTGGCATCCCCCCTCCTGCCAGGCTTCCTGCCGGGCTTCCTGCCTTTGATGCCCTCCCAGGCCTCTCTTTGACCTCGTAGCCTTTTTGAGCTGGAAGCAGCCAGTACTCGTAATTAAAGGCTTTCCACGCAGATAACAAGCACCCTTCTGAGGAAAGAGTCAGGCATGAAAGGGTTTTTGTTGCCTTTTTTTCCTTTTAAAGCAAACCCTCCATGCTGGCTACTCCTGTCCTATGTAAACCGGCTGAGGGGGCTGGGAGGTCACGGCCAGGGGGTCGCCTGCAGGAGAAGATAGCCCAGGTCCTTGGCCCTCCAGGAGCCACAGGTGGCCCAGACCCAGGGCCCTCACGTCGGAGCCCAGGCTCCCTGAGCCCCATTCCTGGTAGTTGGAAGAGAGGACGACAACTGGCAAGCACAAAGGGCCCGTCAGGACAGAGGGGGAGCGATTCCAAGGGGGCGCCTGCCTAGGCCACGCATCGCCGCCCTTGAACACGCCAGAGCTGTTGGTCTTCTCCAGGCCCCCTGGGGGCTGTGATGGAGAGGGGAGAGGGGAGACTGAGGGTGGTCCTTCTCGGGCGGGGCAGGCTGCTCCAGAAGTGAGGATGTGTGGTGCCCATCCCTGTGTCCCCGTGCCCACGGTGGCCAGCACGTTTGCAGGCACTTGAGGGATTGTGCCTAGTAGGCCTCCCCCTATGGAGGCCAGGAAGAGGTTCCTCGCTTTCACTCTGGCGGGCTTCCCAACAGGTGGGCAGAGAGAATGGCGGGTAGGGAGCAGGCTCAGGGCACCATGTGCCACCACTTGAAGGAGAAGGGCTGCCGGCGCACGTTGGTCCCGCAGTGGATCTCCCCGAGCAGCTTGTGGTAGGACAGGAAGTCGTCGATGAAGATGCAGTGGAGGCCCAGCGGCTCCAGCAGGGACCGCACCTTCTCCTCCAGGCAGCAGCGGCCGTTGATGATGGGCCCGTAGGGCTTGGGGATGCCCAGGTACTTGCCTAAGACCACCATGTTGACCTGTAGAAGAGACAAGGCAAGAGGGAGGCCCGGCTGGCTGCCGACACCTGGCACATGGGGAACCCTTCTGGCCTGTGGCTCTGGCAGACCCATCCCCAGGTCCTGTCCCACCCTGGCCAGCATCCCTGGGCCATCAGGGCTGGGGCTCCCTCAGAATGAAGGTCCTGCCCAGCTGGCGTGGCTCAGTAGTTGAGCATCAACCTATGAACCAGGAGGTCATGGTTTGGTTCCTGGTGGGGGCGTGCAGGAGGCAGCAGATGGATGATTCTCTCTCATCATTGATGTTTCTATCTCTCTCTCTCTCCCTTCCTCTCTGAAATCAATAAAAATATATTTTTTTAAAAAAAGAATGAAGAAGATCTATAGAAGCAGAGAAATAGATTCATGGTTGGAAGAGAGGATTGATAACCAGCAGGGCTGTTAGTAACATACATGGGAGATTTATATAAAGACACACCGTCCTCTACCACTTTCTTCCATCCATCAGAAAACTGTCATAACAATTTGGTTAGAATAAGAGTTTACCATCATCTGTCAGAAACTTGTACAAAAAATATGCCATTGCCCTAGCTAGTTTGGCTCAGTGGATAGAGCATCAGCCTGCGGACTAAAGGATCCCAGGTTCCATTCCGGTCAAGGGCACATGCCTGGGTTGAGGGCTTGATCCCCAGTAGGGGGCGTCCAGGAAGCAGCCAATCAATGATTCTCTCTCATCATTGATGTTTCTGTCACTCTCTCCCTCTCCCTTTCTCTGAAATCAATAAAAAAATATTTAAACACACACACACACACACACACACACACACACACACACACACACACCATCTACACGGTCTATGGTGTGAATGTCCTTGTGGGGCTAGAGCATTTGTTCAGTGTGCAGCTTGCTCAGCTGTCCCTGGAAGCCCGGATAATCCCGGATAATTATCACCATGTATTGAGTACCTACTATGTGCCAGATATAGCATCATTAAACCGCACAGCCTTCCTCTGAGGCTGTGATTAGGACAGGTTTGTAACATGCTCAGGCCACACAGAGAAGTGGGAGACTGAAATTTGGTTTGGTCTGACCCATACCAAGACTCACACTCTTTATCCTCTGCCAGAATGGAGCACTATGGCGGCCTGGGGCTGAGGCTGGGGCAAGGGGCTGGGAGCCCTTGGGGGCACCTGGGTTTATCTCTGGTGGCATCTCTGCTTCCCTATTTGGGGGCCCTGGCTGGGGGCCTAGAGGTGGGGAAGGGACATCTCCCCAGTGCAGGGTGTGAAGGTTTCTTAGAGGAAAGGTCAGCCCTGGCTTGATGGCCAGAGGAGGGGACATTCTGGTCAAGGGCACATGCCTGGGTTGAGGGCTTGATCCCCAGTAGGGGGCGTCCAGGAAGCAGCCAATCAATGATTCTCTCTCATCATTGATGTTTCTATCTCTCTCTCTCTCCCTTCCTCTCTGAAATCAATAAAAATATATTATATATATACCATCTACACGGTCTACGGTGTGAATGTCCTTGTGGGGCTAGTGCTTTTGTTCAGTGCACAGCTTGCTCAGCTGTCCCTGGAAGCCCAGATAATCCCGGATAATTATCACCATGTATTGAGCACCTACTATGTGCCAGATATAGCATCACTAAACCGCACAGCCTTCTTCTGAGGCTGTGATTGGGACAGGTCTGTTAACATGCTCAGGCCACACAGAGAAGTGGGAGACTGAAATTTGGTTTGGTCTGACCCATACCAAGACTCACACTCTTTATCCTCTACCAGAATGGAGCACTATGGCGGCCTGGGGCTGAGGCTGGGGCAAGGGGCTGGGAGCCCTTGGGGGCACCTGGGTTTATCTCCGGTGGCATCTCTGCTTCCCTATTTGGGGGCCCTGGCTGGGGGCCTAGAGGTGGGGAAGGGACATCTCCCCAGTGCAGGGTGTGGAGGTTTCTTAGAGGAAAGGTCAGCCCTGGCTTGATGGCCAGAGGAGGGGACATTCTGGACCCACTTCTAGAGGCCATCTCAGTGTGGGGTGAGCTGCCCTGGACTCTGTGGCATCCCATTCTCCAAGCCCTAGCCCCTCACCCTCAAGTCTGCCCTGCAGAGCCATCTAGGCTGGGAGCAACATTAAGCTGGGGGGTCTCAGGTCAGCTCCATGGCCTTGGCCCTGAGCGACCCACTTGCTCACTAATGGGCCAGAACTTGCCAGGGAAGGAGTAAGGCCAGGAGACTAAGGGGAGAGAGAGGAGCCAGGTGCAGGGTTCAGGACCGAGCCAGCCAGGTGGGCTCCTCCTGGATGAGGACTCAGGAGACGGGAGGCTGCCCCCTGGCTCGCTGGGGACCGTGAGCAAGCCAACCCCTACCCTCTGTGGCCTCAGTTCCCCCATCTGACAATGAGGGGTTAACCTAGGCATTCCCTAGGGGCCCTTCCAGTAAACACAGACTGGGACCCTATGTGTGTGTTGGGGGAGTGGGCTTCTGGCAGGTGTGGGCAAGGCCACAGCCAAAGGAGGGCTGACCAAGGTCATGGGCTCTGACCCAGGCCTTACCAGCAACCCTCAGCCAGGCCAGAGCTGGTCGCCCCTTAGGACTCTGATGTCCAGTACGGTAGCAACTAGCCCCCTGTGACTGTTAAAATTCAAATTACAGTAAAAGTTTGGTCCACCACACCAGCCACATTTGAAGTGCTCAGTAGCCACACGTGGCTCAGTGGCTCCCATGTCATGTTGTGCAAATACAGAACATTTCCATCACCCCAGAGAGTTCTAACGGCACTGCCTCAGGACGGTGGTTCTCCACCAAGGGGGATTTTACCCCCCGAGGATTGCTGCTGGCATCGTGTAGGTAGGGGACAGAGATCCCCACATCCTTTCCCAAGGGAATAATGGGCACTTTGGCCAGGACTGTGCCGATAGCATCGCTCAGGCCCCTCCCAGGGGCCAGGCTGGTGAGCTCACAATCTCTCACCTGCTTGTCAGCTGCCGAGCTAATGACAGCCCGGGAGGTGGCTGCCACCTGCCCCACCTGCTGGGCCCAGGAGCCCCACTGGGGAGCAGAGAAGGCGGCTGAGGCCCAGAAACGGAAGCCCCAAACCTTTGGAACCAAACCACACTTCCTTTTCCCATTTGGGGAAAACCACGCCCTGAGTTGTGGGGCTGCGGGATGTTGTGCAGCGTCCCTGCCCTCCCCGACTGGGTACCCCTCACGGAGGCAATCCAAACGGCCCGGGTTGAGAGCCCCTGATGGACGGTCTGTATTGGCACAGAAAACACACACATGCTGGAAGGTGCGGGCCACCCCGGCTGTGCCATCTGTCCCTGTACGGGGGGCGCTCTTCTGCGGAGGCCCAACGGGGTCCCCACCAGGCCCCAGGAACCAGAACAGCCCCATGCTCTCACCATGTCGGGGAAGAAGGCTTCTGCGTGGGGGCCCCTCAGGTAGAAGAGCTGCGGGATGTCCACGATGTCCCGCTCCGTCAGGCCCAGCTCCCGCTTCAGCACCTCCCGGTTCCAGTCGATGCATTTCTGGGGGAGCGAGTAAGGATCCAAGGCTTGCAGAGTGCCTACTGTGTGCAGCCTCTGCGCCTTTTGGCTCCTTTTAGCTCCTTTGATCTTTGTGCCATTGCTCCCCGAAGGTGGGAAAACTGAGGCTCAAATGGCCTTCCCTAGGGCCCTACCCTACCCACAGGTCTCAGCAGCCCCCAGCTGCTCTCTCTGGATGATGGGGGACCCCCAAGAACAGGCAGCGGGCCTGTCTCTCACCTGCACATAGAGACTGTCGCTCTGGAGGCTTCTGTCAGCCAGCAATTCATTAATGCTTCTCTTCACCTTCTCCTCTAACCCTGCAAGAGAGAGAGAGACTGTCCATGGGCTCAGGGAGTCCTGCCCAGGCCACCACGGGCCCAGGCCTTCATGATCTGGGCCAGAATTTCCTCCCCACCTCAGTGCCAGGGCCTGAAGCAAGGATGGAGAAAGCCAGAGATGGAAACCCTGATAGGACCTGGCTCTGGCTGCCAGTAAATCCTGGGGATGGATCACAGACCCCTTGGGAAGGGTCACCTGGGCTCAGGGCCTAATCATCTCCATACAGTTACCATTACTGAACACCCACCGTGTTCTGGGAGTCCCGCTGAGTTTATTATTAGCCTTTAAAGCACTGCCAGGTAGGGTTCATTATCCCCCCAATTCAGAAAAGAGGAAACGGAGGCACTGAGAGGGTCAGAACGCATCCGTGATGTCACAGCCAGCAAATGGCAAGACCAGGATTTGGACCCAGGTCTACCCAGGCCGCAGGCCACTCCACAGCCCTTCCCAGGCTCCATTCCTCAGGGGAGAGCTCTGAGCTCTGTGGGAGGGGAGGGGAAGGTCTGTCAATTCCCAAAGGAGGGTCTACAGAGAGGCCCTGACCACCCCCCTGGCTGCTGGGCCCTCTTCCCTTAAGCCCCTAGCCCTGCTGCCCCCTGTGGCTCGGCCCTGGGAAAGCCACTTCCCTCTGAGTCCCGGTTTCCTCATCTGTGAAAAGGGATAAGGAGGGGGCGTGGGAGATCCGAAGGGGGGAGAACGAGTGCCCGGCACAGGATGGCACAGGGGCATGCTCATTGCTTCCTGTTCTTTTCCTCCCCCGGGGTGTGACCAGGAACCGCCCACTGTATGGAGGAGGTCACCCCATTGGGTGTGCCTAGGGCAGATCACCACCTCGCAGCTCCCTTTCCTAGCCCAAGAGAGGGAGAGCCTCATCCTTAGCTCCCACGTGAGAGTCAGGAGAATAGTGACGTCAGGCTCTGAGCGCAGATCTGCAAGCAAAGGGCCTGTAGACGGGCACAGTCAGGAAAGGCATCAGCGGTGCCCAGGGCTGGCAGTGTAAGGGCAGCGTCCCCGCAGGACGCCTGGGTCATTGGCACTCACCATCAAACTGGACCGCCTTGCCGTAGCCCTCCGCTCTCTTCTCTTGGAACAGTTTAAGGCAAGCGCTGGGGCTCGCCAGGAGCAGCCGGAAGCCCTGGCACAGAGGGAGGGAGAAGAGCTCAGTGCACGGGTTCCCCTAGATGCAGGAGACCCCAAACTCAGGAGGGGCCTGAGTTCAGAGGCCAGACCGCGCACGGGACACTCAATCTCCACCTCAGCGTCACCCACCGGCTACAAAGAACTACCAACAGGTCCTCCAAGCTGGTTCAGGCCTCTAGGCCCTTGTCCATGACATTCTCCCTGCCTGGGGGTCCTTCCCTGCTTTACCCACCTGGGAATGCAGCCCCCCTCCCAGGCTGCTGGCTCCCTGAAGGCTGTGCCCTCTGGCCATCTCTGCAAGGCGGTAAACTGAGGGATTAACATATTGGCCCAGAGCCCACTGTCTGGGTTTGATCCTTACCCTACCTGTTAATTGCCCTTCTGAGCCTCCGTTTCCTCATCTACGAGATGGGGGCAATGATAATAGTCACCATCAAACTGGACCGCCTTGCCGTAGCCCTCCGCTCTCTTCTCTTGGAACAGTTTAAGGCAAGCGCTGGGGCTCGCCAGGAGCAGCCGGAAGCCCTGGCACAGAGGGAGGGAGAAGAGCTCAGTGCACGGGTTCCCCTAGATGCAGGAGACCCCAAACTCAGGAGGGGCCTGAGTTCAGAGGCCAGACCGTGCACGGGACACTCAATCTCCACCTCAGCATCACCCACCGGCTACAAAGAACTACCAACAGGTCCTCCAAGCTGGTTCAGGCCTCTAGGCCCTTGTCCATGACATTCTCCCTGCCTGGGGGTCCTTCCCTGCTTTACCCACCTGGGAATGCAGCCTCCCTCCCAGGCTGCTTGCTCCCTGAAGGCTGTGCCCTCTGGCCATCTCTGCAAGGCAGTCAACTGAGGGATTAACATATTGGCCCAGAGTCCACTGTCTGGGTTTGAACCTTACCCTACCTGTTAATTGCCCTTCTGAGCCTCGTTTCCTCATCTACGAGATGGGGGCAATGATAATAGTAGCCACCTCATGAGAAGTAAATGAATTAAAACATGTACACAACATAGGTGCTCAGTAAATGTTACCAACACCCCATTGGGTGTGCCTAGGGCAGATCACCACCTCGCAGCTCCCTTTCCTAGCCCAAGAGAGGGAGAGCCTCATCCTTAGCTCCCACGTGAGAGTCAGGAGAATAGTCGTCAGGCTCTGAGCGCAGATCTGCAAGCAAAGGGCCTGTAGACGGGCACAGTCAGGAAAGGCATCAGCGGTGCCCAGGGCTGGCAGTGTAAGGGCAGCGTCCCCGCAGGACGCCTGGGTCATTGGCACTCACCATCAAACTGGACCGCCTTGCCGTAGCCCTCCGCTCTCTTCTCTTGGAACAGTTTAAGGCAAGCGCTGGGGCTCGCCAGGAGCAGCCGGAAGCCCTGGCACAGAGGGAGGGAGAAGAGCTCAGTGCACGGGTTCCCCTAGATGCAGGAGACCCCAAACTCAGGAGGGGCCTGAGTTCAGAGGCCAGACCGCGCACGGGACACTCAATCTCCACCTCAGCGTCACCCACCGGCTACAAAGAACTACCAACAGGTCCTCCAAGCTGGTTCAGGCCTCTAGGCCCTTGTCCATGACATTCTCCCTGCCTGGGGGTCCTTCCCTGCTTTACCCACCTGGGAATGCAGCCTCCCTCCCAGGCTGCTTGCTCCCTGAAGGCTGTGCCCTCTGGCCATCTCTGCAAGGCAGTCAACTGAGGGATTAACATATTGGCCCAGAGTCCACTGTCTGGGTTTGAACCTTACCCTACCTGTTAATTGCCCTTCTGAGCCTCGTTTCCTCATCTACGAGATGGGGGCAATGATAATAGTAGCCACCTCATGAGAATTAAATGAATTAAAACATGTACACAACATAGGTGCTCAGTAAATGTTACCAACTTTTTATCAGTGTCACTTCACAAGGGTCTTGGCTGAGTGGTGTGGATCAGAGGAAACACCCGGTAAGTGTGAGAATGTGTGTGAGTAGTGAGCCACTGAGTGCCCCCCTGACCTGAGCTCTGACCTCCTCCAAGAAGCCCTCCAAGATTAATGCCCCCTGGCCTCAAGGGTACCCTGCCTCTGAGCTCAGTATGGATTAGGTGTTGAGTTGGTCCCAAGTAGCTTTGCCCTGTTTTGTCCCCTCAGGTCAGGCAAGGGCAGAGGTGGCTCACGCAGGAGAGGGGGCACACCTTTTGGTCGGAGGTGGGCACGAAGGTCAGGAATTCGTCCACGTGGCCCACGGAGAGCCAGTCAGAGTAAAGCTCCACGGGCGCCTGCACCTGCTGGGCCTTCAGGAAGTCACGCACCACCTTGGCCATTCGCCGCCCACCTGTCCTGTCGGGGGAGGGAGAGAGCGGCCATCACCTCACGGTGACCTGTGGGTGTGGGGTCAGACGCAGGGCCCTGACGTCTTCCACAGCTCAGCGTTTTCGAGGATGTAGCGCGTCTGAGGATGTGGAATCTGCATTTTGACAAGCATCTTAGCTGACTCAAGAGAACCGCTGCCCCGCTCAGTTTGTGGTTCTTGAGATGAAGTCTGAGCATTTTCAAACCACCCTTTATTAGCAGAGACAGGGAAGGAGGGAGGGACGAGGGTGGCCTAGAACAGGGGACAGGGGACAGGGGAGCCGGAGCTGGAGTCCCAGAGCTGTGGGACACGTTACCCAGGCAAGGGCTATGTCCCTGTTTCACAGATGAGGCAGCTGAAGCCTTGTCTAAAGTCAGAACAATATATACTTTCCTTGACACAAGTAACCATGTGCAAACACACGGTCAGAGATTTTTTTCAATATGTTTTACATAAAAGGGATCATATTTCTTGCCCTGGCTTGTCAGTGTAAGGACATACGGGTGAGCTCCCAGCCCGCATCCAATCTGGTGGTTCTACCTTAAACAGAACACAACCCGGCCTTTCCCAGGCTCCTCCTCTGCCACCACCCAGCCAGTGACACCTCCCTCACCTAAATAATCCCAGTGGCCTGTCCCTTTCCCTATTCTCTTAGCTTTCAGCCTTGCTCCTCCGCAGCTTAGCCAGAGGGAAGCTTTTAAATATGTCAGAGCATGTCCCTCCTCAGGACAAAACCCTCACATCCCTCCCATCTCACTAACTGTAAATGCAAAGTCTTCACAAGGACCTGCACAGCCCCACCAATGCTGACGTCCCCCCTCCTGCCACTCTCCTCTTCACTCACTCAGTTCCGGCCATGCTGACCTCCTGCTGTCCCTCGAATATAGCAGGTACATTCCTACCTCAGGGCCTTTGCACATGCTATTCTTTCTACTAAGAATTGCTGCCCACTCCCCACAAGTTTAACGCAAATGTTTCCTTCTTCCACTATGAGGCCTTTGAAATTAAAACAATCCCTCAACCCTCTTACCAGCTTTATTTTTCTCTACACCATCCGGTACTACTTGGCACACTTGATGTCTTATTGTCTGGCATCCCACTAGGATGCAAGTTCTAGGAGGGCTGGGATTTTTTGTCTATGCTCACTCCGTATCTCTTATATAATAGGTGCTGAAAATATGTTTGTGAGTGATATTCATTCCTTTGAACCACCGTGTGCTATATAACTCGAATATGTCATAGACAAAGTCTAGAAGGAAGTCCCAACAAGGTAGAACCACCAGATTGGACAACACTGCTTTGATTTTGGGGATGGGATTGTGGAAAATATTTTTCTTGTATTTTTTTTTATCTTAATAGAGTGCTGGTAATTTTATTTTAGATGGGATTGTGGAAAATATTTTTCTTGTATTTTTTTTATCTTAATAGAGTGCTGATAATTTTATTTTATCTACTTATTTATTTATTTAATCCTCACTTGAGGATATTTTTCCTTGACTTTTTTTTTTTTTTTTTAAGGGAGAGTAGAAGGGAGAGGGAAAGACAGAGAGAAACATCGATATGAGAGAAACACACCCATTGGTTTCCTCCTGCATGTGCCCTGACCAGGGCAGTCTGTAACCAAGGTATGTGCCCTTGATCAGAATCAAACCCAGAACCCTTTGGTCCTCAGGCCGACACTCTATCCACTGAGCCAAACCAGCTAGGGCCAGTGTTGGCAATTTTAAAAGACTTCTTACAGAACAGTGAGATGGTGGAGAAGCATTAGACTTTAAAAACTGCACATGAGCAGAAAGTGGCAGGAATCAGAGACATGGAGGGTAGAGGAAGGGCAGAGTCCCTCCGAGGGGTGCTCGGCAGCCATCTGCCTGGAGGCAGGGGCATGGACCAGAGGACGGCAACCCTGGAGGCATCAGACCTGGTCTCTGAGCTACATCAACGCTGCCACCAGGAGGCAGGATTGCACAGGGATTGTTCTAAATGTGAGCGCAGAGAGCGGAGAAGCCACGATTAAGCACGGAGTGGCATTTGTTGAGCACTGTGTGCCGGCCTGAGGCTCCTCACACTATCCTAACCAGCCACCCGCTCACCTGCAGCCCATGCCGACCTCTGGGCCCTTTCGAGCTTGGCTAGGACAGCAGATGTTTGACCTCCTACAGGGCGAGGGCAACAGATCTATCTCCTGCCTCTGCATCAAACTGCACATCTCCCCAGCTCTTCTGATTTTCAGGAGGCTGGGAATCTGGCTTTTTATGTGAGGCCTCCTGAGATATAGATATAGACGTGCATGTTTCACTAAGCGCATACAATTCTAGGCAGGCCGAAGACCATGAACATCCGTTTGTGAGTTTCCTCCTAAGATGCTGTGACCTTCCGAATGGAAGAATCTAGGCCTCTGAGTCTTTGATTCTAGATTCCACTTCTCGGACTGGAGACTTGTGTTCGTGGTGGATGCTGCGGTCAGTGCCCTCCGCCCTCCGCCTCCCTCCCGCCCGGCCTCTCACTTAGGAAAGTTGCTGCCGATGAGGATCCGGCCCAGGGGGTACTCCTTGCCGCCCACGGTCACCGGTGGGCTGACGTCCAGGTTGCCGAAGGAGTCGAGGCCGGAGGCGCCAGCGAAAGGGATTTCCTGGGTTACGTATCCAAAGTCGGGGCCCTGTGGGAGGACCAGCAAGACATACACCGCCCCCCGCCCCCACAAAGGAAGGGTCAGTTAGAACAGGAAAACCACCTCTATCCACTGTTCACAGAGTCCCCCATTCTCTGAGCGCCCTGCAATTCAAGCCCAAGCCAGTAAGAGAACAACCACTAGAAAAGCCCCCAGTGTTTGGAAATGAGGCGACACACTTCTGGAGACGCTGTGGGCCACAGGCTACGTCCAAGTGGACATTGGACAACCAGGGCTGACCCTTCTGTTGGCCCCGCCTTGCGGGAGAAAGGTCCTCAAGAAGATTGTATTAGCTAGCCCCTCCAACATGGAGCAATTTGCATTATATTTGCATATTTGCTCAAACCTCCTACTGACACCCCATTTGCCATAGTTCACCACCTGTGTCCTTTTGCCCCCTAAAGGACCAGGACTCGGCAAAACCGATCGGGTCCTACAGCAGGAGCCACCCAAGGGTTTCCCACTCTGCCCTTTGCCACATACCAGGATCCTATTATAGGAGAACTCCTTCAGGCCCCTGTCTCGGGGGGAGTCAAAGACCACGGGGAAGGATTTGTGGGGTGCCTCCACGTAGCCAAATTCCATCTCGTCCTGGGAAGAGAGACGAAAAGACTCCAGTGACCTCCTTGGTATGGTTTTTCAGAACGGGGTGATCCCCCCAGGCCTGGGGCAGGACGGGGCAGCAGATCCTCCCCAAGATCTGGGGGGTGCAGGAGAGGCAGAGGTGAGGCCCCTTGGGAGCCTGGTTGGGAGAGAACTCTGTCTGGGACCAGGGCATTTGGAGGGAAGCAGGAGAGACTGGGGTGCTGCAGGCAGCGGGAAGCGTTCCGCTAACCTGCATACTACA